TCACTATCGAGTATAATTCGATACCATGGTTCTCCTACAAGAAATTCCCATATCTGTACAGGCTGAACATCATAGCTCTCTTGCAATGAGGAAGTAATCATGCAAGTAAAGGTGTCAACTTTCCGATTCAATACACAGAGCGTTTGCTTAACCGCATCTGGCATATTCGGATCCACCATCACTTCCTGTACGTCAATTTGTATTGTATCGATCCATCCTTTAGTCAAAAGATCTCTACAGAAACCTTTTCTAAAGATTTTCCATGGAACGAACAATTTCGTAGCTCTATTAGGATAAACCGCTAATCCTTGAACTACATCCGTCAAGTCAGTTTTTCCCAATTTCACTATTAATTCATTCAAATTCTCGAGTTTGAGTTTTGACATGTCAAACAAATGACATTTTCTCATGACCTCAAGTTTTTGAATTCATGCTTCATAGAGTAAAGCAGTTCCCTTGAACTCCTCATCCTCATAAAACAGTTTGTCAGCTTCTAGCCATGCTAACCTTCTTACTAGCTTCTCTAAACACCTCTGCAGCTGTACTTCCCCTTGTCTTGTTGCCATCGCGATCCTAATTTGGGTTTCCATATCCTCCCAGAGTGTTTGACTAGCTGAAGTTAATTTTAAGCCTTCTGGAAAGCTAAACCTCTCACAAATATCTGCGTCAATTAACCGCTTTTTTTGTTGTGTGTCACCACGCTTGTAGCGCCTGACGATGAATCCTCAGAATTTTTGATCTTTGACAATGGACAATTAGCCCGTTCATGTCCTTCCTGTTTACAAGACCAGCAAACTATTGCCTTTTTCTGAGTCGTTTCCTTCTTAAGAGTAACCCACTTTTCAGAAGTACCGTAGAAGTCTCACCCTTCAATCGTTGAAATTTTAGGTTCCTTCTATCCGAAGTATCAGAATCATAGTCATGATTCTTTCCTTCAACCTGCTTTACCGCAATGACCTGCTTAGAAGAAGAAGCAACCTGCTTATCCGCAGTTTTCTCCTTTTTAACAGTAACCTTTGAAGTAGAAGTAATCTTCAAAGGGCAGTTCCTTCTTAAGTGTCCTCGTTGCTTACACTTAGAGCATGAGAAGTGATTTCTAGTTTCCTTCTTGTCCGCCATTATCCTGCAAGTCTTCTACAAAATGTCTAAACAAAAAGTCAACAACAAAGTTAGATTTACCAGGAATATATTCAAATTTGATTCTATAATTTGCAAACCAAATCTGCCATCTGATTATTCTAGCTTTGTCATCCTTTAAAGACAGTTTAATAAAAGTTTTTAAATATTTAGAGTTTGTCCTTAAAGTAAATCATCGAAATCGGTCAATACATTCTTTCGCTGCTAAAACTTCCTTCTCATGGACAGGATAGTTTATCTCAGTAAGAGAGAATTTTCTTGACGCATATCGAACAATCCGTTCAATATTATCAGTACCCTTAGCCTTAAGCACACCTCACCAATACAAGTGAGATGCATCACTTTCTATAATGAGTTTATCCTCATCTTCAGGGAGTTTTAAAGGTTTTAATTGCTTTGTCAAGGCCTTGGTCCGCTTAACACAATTAGTGTCTTCAAGTGTCCAAACCCAGGGCACTTTATCACTAACCTTAAGCGTCAAGCCATTAATTACATTAGCGAGATTAGGAACATATTCACGCATGTAATTGGCTAATCCAAGAAATTGCTGTAACATGTGCTTATCTTCTAGCACATCTGGAAATTCCAGCAACTTCTTTGAGATATGTTCTTGGAGTTGAATACCTCCTTCACCTATCTCAACGCCTAAGAACTTCACCTTGTTCTTAAACCATTCTACCTTTCTTTCAGATAGAATCATTCCATTATCAAGAAACATTTTGCTCACTAGTCTAAGATGATTTACATGTTCTTCCTTAGTCTTACTAAAAACTAGAACATCATCAATATAGACTACACAAAAGTTGGATAAATCTCCAAAGACTTTATCCATTTTTCTCTGGAATATTGATGGTGCATGCTTAAGTCCAAAAGGCAGAACCATCCATTCAAACAATCCTTTCGGACAGGTGAAAGCCGTTAAAGGAATGCTTGACTCCGCCATCCTGATCTGCCAGAATCCTGACTTCAGATCAAATTTGGAGAAGATTTTTCCAAATCTAGCTTTATCCAAACAAGCTGATTTGTTTGGTATCTTATAAGCATCGTCAATGGTTTTCTCATTCAACTGCCTATAATCGATAACCATCCGCGCTTTTCCTCTCAATTGCTCAACTCTATTCATGACCATGAATGCTGGCGAAGAGTGTGGACTTTTACTGGCGCGTATCAATTGCTTTTCCAGCAATTCCCGTATTTGCTTACTGAATTCCTTCTCTGCATCAGGAGTATAAGGAAAAGATTTGGTCACTATTTTATCATCCTTCCTTTTCAATTCAAGTGAAGCATATATACCGTTCCTTTCCCATAACTTTAATGGTTGATCATCAAAGCATGGAGAAAGTTCTTCTTTTAAGGATTTTACAAGTTCCTTAATCCTTAAAGAGTTTTTTTGGCTCTCGTTTTCAACCTTCAAGGTTTTTTCCTTATGTATGAATTTATCCATGCTCTCAAGGCATGCACTAGAGGGATCATCCTCCTGCGATATACCTCGTGCGATCCGGTTTATATGATGACTAGGATACAACCTTTGAAAGAAAACATTACAAGCCTCATCTGCTTCTTCTACTTCAGAAGTTTTCAACCACCAGTTTTCCTTTCCCAATATTTGGAAAACAATGTGATCTGCTTCTTGCCTTAGTTTCATCGGTCTAAAACCGTTTCTAACTTTCGAAACTTCAGGCTTAGCAAGAATAGAGATTTTATGTCCTCCAAGGATAATATGGTCGTTATCCTGAGTAAATGGCCTAACTTCTGCTTGACCTTGCAGAAAGCTATTTCCGAGAATAAAATCTACCTCCAAGTAATCCACTACTAGGACTTCCCTTAGAGTAAATTTTTTTCTCGTTTAACAGTACAACCACGTTTTCTACCACATCCGTGATCATACTTTGACCTCCATCTGCAACCGTATTTGTGATAGGTTTTTCCAATGGTTTCCAAAGCTCCTGTGGAAAACATTGCTTCCTTGCAATACATTTGGTTGCTCCTGTGTCTACAAGAATATCCAGAGTATATTCCTCATATTCTGGAAAACACAGTTTAGCACGTATGCATGTGTCAATAGTCCCCTGAACTATTGCATGACAATGCATTTCATGACTCATCATCATTTTCGTGCTTGGAGTCTCTTCTTCATATACTGGGATTTGTATAGATTTATACCCAACTATTTTCCTGCTATTGCTACTTCCAGCATCACTAGCAGTGTCATCTGTTTCCAGTATATTTTTCCTTGATATGATAGGTTGAATTTCTTTATTCCGCTCTAGAGATACCGAATGTCTAGGCGTAGGAAGAGTAACCTCAACCTTATTATCAAGTTCCTAGATTTGAATTCCCCGATTTGGGTTTAATTCCACCACGCTGGGCTGCGTTGAATATTCCAAAACCCATCGTTTCGGCCACGTAAAAGCCTTAGCATTGACTACCGTAGGTCGAATTGGAATTACAGAATCCTGTCTCGGGCCATGAACTTCAGTATCTACACTGGAGTTCATACGTATAGGATTAACAGAATTTATCAAGCGATAAATCAACCTATACTGAATTGCTATTCCATCACTAGAAGCCATCAAGTCTTCTAGTCCTGAAGTATGAATTCGAAGAACCATAATCCGTTTGAGGTTTAGATCCTGGAGACTAACCATATATCTTGGTTTAACCGTCCTGTAGGCATCTCCCAAAGCTAGATTAGCGTGAAAACCGCCAACTAAAGCTTTTCCAAACATAAGCCATCGTCTGTCCAGTAAAGCAACCTGAACAGGTACATTCATTCCTCCACGGAATAGTCCCTGCACACGAATCTGTATAGCACCAAGTTGTACATAATTATACTTGCCATTTGCCCGTTTGGCAAGATTTCGAACCTTCCGTAGCCACTCGTCATTCGAGAGCACTAATTCACCCTCACCCTCTCGAGATTGAGACAAGGCTACACGAACAGGTTTTTCGTGTACATCTTCCAAGCCTTCAACTTTAAAAAGGCACTTAGAGCGTTTTTCAAAACCCTCTCTAGGTGTTAACCTCAGAATTATCCAATTGTCAGGGTTACCCGAGTGATCCTCGTAATTAGATGATGAACTAATTACCGAGTTAGGGTTTTCATCCTCATTTCTAATTGGGATAAGATCATCCTCATCACCAATACCACTATTCGTAGGATATTCATTAAGACTACTAGTCCGTTGCATGAATATACCTACGCGTTGAAGATTTGAAGATTGTTCCTCAAAAGTCATATCTTTTGAGTCATCCTCTGAAGAATCTGAATCATCAGAGTAATCCGAAATTAATTCATAAACCTCATCATCAGAATCAATTTCGTATCCCCAAACTGGCTCAAATTCAGAAGTTTGGCTTTCCGCGTTGACTTCCAAAAATCTTACCGCAGCCTTCTTCTTTCCCTTATTAGTGTATTTTTCTGCAAAGTGATTCTTGTCACCACAAATCCATCAACAATTACAATCTTTTGCGTTTTTGCCAGATGGGCAGGTAGCACAAAACTTACGCGCTCCGCGTTCCTTACCGTTAAGTCTACCTTTCCCTGTTCGCCTAATAAACCTTTCATGATCCAGAAGATTCCGCTTATTAGTAACAGGTCGTTTCACCATATTACGAAAACGTTTCGGCTTAAATTTCTTTTTACCGAACGATCTTTTTCGTTTCATATGGTTTTTCCAACCTTGATGTTTAGTCGAACCCCTCGACTCACAGCTATATTGTCCTGGCACGCCATCAAAGTTTTGACAACAAGATTCGTTGAACTCAAGCCTTTTAGCTTCCTTATTCAGCATGGCGTTCAAACATCTTGTCCTCACGAGTTGTCTAACAGCTTCTATTCTTCCTCCCAAAGAATCAACAACCTAATTCTTTTCAAGTAGAAGCTTAAACGCCTCGTTTGCTGCCTTATCCCATCCTGGGGGAAGCTTAGCAAAGAAAGTATTCTTCATGACTTCCTGTGTGCCACCAAGCAACTGATAAAAATATCGTCTATACTCACAAACGAAATTTTCAAACAGACACATGTCACAAAGCCTAAGCTTTGTTAAAGCTTCTAAGGCAACTACCTTTGTGAGATTCCTACTGGTAATTGTTATCCCAGTAAATTCTCGACAGAGCATATCCTTGAAGAGTGCAAAGATAGCCTCTCTGTTCTTCAAGTCACCTACAGTATCTAACAGACCCGTACCAGCTTTTAGACTTCTCCAAAAGCTTCCTGCAGCTCCCTGCAGTGTGGATCTTAGAAACCTGTAAGTATCACTGAGTCCAAAGTTCTTGTTTTGAATATGAACCCAGTTAACAGTTTCCCATGCTTCGATTGCATCTGTTACATTCGTAACATAATCGATGTTTAGGAAACTTCCGCTAGACGGTATCTCCACCATTCTAGGTACAAACTCCGACCTTATCCTTATAGGATAAGTTTGTTTATATTCGGGTTTAGAGATTTCCTTAAGGAATCCTTCGAAGGAATTTAAAGGGTTACGAATTTCTTCAAGCGAGTCATCTTTAAACTCAAGACTCCCTGAGTTTCGAGATTAGCTCATCGAGCTCCGCCTTTTTAGGACCTGGAGTAAGTTTCAATCCTCCAGTTTCGTCTCCTTTCCTTTATTTCTTCATTTCTTCCTCATAATACCTGCTGATTCGTTCAGCATCCGAGGTAGAAATTTCTGGAATATCAACCTTCCGTTTTCCATCCATTTTAGAAACAAAGTCTTCTTCCTTAACACCTTTCATAAAGAGTTTTTCCGCCTTTTCCCAATCACCTTGGGTTTCTTTGGCCACAAACTGTGCATATCCTGGAGGCAATCCGGGATATTTTGCCTGCAAACTAGCCACGAACTGATCCAAAACATCCTGACCACCCATGGTCAATCTGAATCAGGTCTCAACTCAATCGCAAAGTCTGACTCTTTATATGGTGTAGGATCTGGATCCAACTGGGATTCGCCGTACCAATAAGGAATTATCGCCTCAGCTTTTTCCAACCACTTATTCTGAAGCTCTAGCTCAGAAACTTCAATGGTAGAAATCCGGCAAATAAAACACAAAATCTTTGTGCACCCTTGACTAAAAGCCTTTTGAATAACATCAAAAAGTCGCTTTACACCTAGCCAAGTCAAATATTCTTCTCAAATATCTGGGTTGCCGTTACAGAGGTCCAACACAACCCATTTAACCTCTTGTTCAGTATATCCTTCAATAGGCCACACTTGTTCAATGTCACTCAACACCAGAGTCATCTCCTATTTTACCGGCTTAGTAAAATAGTTAGAACACGTTCCAATGTTTTGACCTTTTGAAGTACAGAATTAACCTTTTCAATCTGGTTCCCGATCTGGGTTAATTCTTCGTTTAGAGCAAATATACGATACACCGTATAATTCACTCTTATGTCTAAGTTTTCAAGCTTCTGGGTCAAAAGCTCTAACTTATCTACGATAGTATTTAACAAGCCGATCTCCGGTTTTACCTCGAGACCATGATCTAAATGAAAACAAGTCTTATTCAAACAGACTTCATCATTTAAATCATTATTCATGCTATAGAACTTTCAACAGGTTAACAGGTATAAACACATATACCCCCGGTCTTCCAAAGCTCTGATACCATTTACACCCACATAATATTTGTTAACCTTAAAGATTATTAGGAATGTTTAGAAAATGTGTTTAGTTGGTTTGAATAAATTGGTGAATAATATGTTTGGTTGAGAGAATAAATGGGTGAGTATGTTTTATAGATTACTAAATTGCCTTCCTTTTTAAATATTAATATAATAGTATTTTTTGAATCATTTATTTTAACCCCTTATATTTGAAATTTTGCTAAAACTCCCCAGCCATATAAAACTTTAATTTGTAGCAAAATCACCTCTACTCACCCCAAGCCATTGTCGCCAGCCAGCCACCACCACCGGCCGCCGCTGGAAGTCGACGAAATGGTGCACAATTGGCCTTATATGGTCGGTCGTGTGTTGGCAAAGCCATTTCCAACCATGGATCACAAATTTATGGCTGTTTCACGACCAGATCTATGGTCATTTCACGGCCACATCTTTGGTTGTGAATCGGCCAGATCTGGCCGTTCCTAGTTGGTCGAAAAAGGTCTTACTGGTGCACGACCGGCCAAATCCCACTGGTCGTGCACCATTACAACGATTGACGCCGGAGGCCAACGGTGGTGAGTAACGATCGGCGGTGGTCTTGGGTGGCTGGGGGTATTTTGTTAACTTTTAAACTTTTTTTATGGTTGGGGTGTTTTAGCTAATTTATCAAATGTAGGGGGCTGGGTAATTGTTATTTGGTAGACATTTGAGGGCAATTGTGTCAAAAATGATTTTTAATTAAGGGCAAAATAGGTATAAAAATCAGATTACTCGGTAATTTTTAATCCCAAGGCTAGGGGAGGGTATCGGATTACCCCTCACATTACCAACAGTAAATACTATTTACAATAAAAGATTCCCGTAATAATTTATTACTTGTAAATCAAACATCAGAATCTTGCAAAATAAACAAAGATTACCCCCGTTATCTTATATGCCCTCGATCCAAACACACCCTATATATTAACGAACTCTTTTTTCTCAATATCCTAAACCCTATATTTTTTTTCATTCTTTAATACTGTAATTTTAATTCTTTGTTTGGAAATTATGTATTCTTAATTAAATTATTATTATTATTATTTTGAAGAGATGCAAGATGGGTTCAAACAATGGAAATAAAATAATGAATATTCGCAGTTTTTTATTTAGGAAATTTAGTTTAATCCTATTTAAACTACTGTTTAGTATTTATAAGAGTTTGTATAAGAACTAGGTTGCCAAAAATGAAAATGGCGACTGAAATTTAACTCAGGAGAAAAAATAAGGATTATGGGGTTAACAAAGAAATTTGGAAGGAGAAATATTGGAGAAGGGCAATTATGTAATCAAATATAAAACATTAATAAATTCAACTTTTAAAATAATTTTAATGATTATTGAGGCTTAAAAAGAGAATTAGTGGGACTTAAATAATGTCTCTCCACATACAATTCATGAGATTGGATTTGATTTTGATTCAAACATTACTGCTTTATGAGAACACTTTGTAATCTAAGTGTTTAAATTATTAATTTTGGTCAAGAAGGTGTATAGGATCCATTGATTTTATTTCAAGTTGGGTAGATAATTTATTATTTATGGAGAGATTATGTATTTCAAATTAAAGAACTGACATATTTGGTGGACAGTGGACTACCTATTAAGTACAAATAATTTATTTTTCCATCTAATGACAAATTAAAATAGTAGTAATAGAACTTTTTGAGTCTTCCATCGAGGCAAGAGTGAATGACAATTGCCCACCCAAGATTTGTCATAATTACATTTTCCCACCCATCGTCAATCTTGGTCAATGGAATCCGTTACACGAAATGACGAAAGGGTAAAGCTACGAACTATTTAACTTTATAATTTTTAACTAGACTGAATAGCACAAATAACATTTTCCCATCCAAACTTTATTAAATATATTTTTCACCCTAATTTGTTAAAATTAACTTTTGAATTTAACGATGGTGGGAAAATGTCATTATCTCGGAGGCAATTCTCATTAGTTAATATTTGATTAGTACGTAGTTTAATGTTTGGCATATGTTCAAAGATTCTGATTTCTGACATTCCACTGATTCGCATTTGAACTGTGTTAAATATTTTATTGTTGATCTAAATTAAGTATAATTATATGAAAATGGTTTTGGTTGTCTCAATCACAATAAAAATGCAACTATATTCTAATATGTATGAGTTTTCTATAATTACATATGAATAATATTTATAATGAATCTCGCAAAACAAGAAATACGTGTAACATTTAAGCCTACTATATGTGCATGCTAGTACTCCCCATTTTTCTTTTTTAGACCAAGGTTGAATATTAATATTTGAGACGTGTAATATATGATCGATCTCCAGCTTGGTCCTCACACGTTATTTACATTTTTAATTTCAAATATTTTAATTTTGATACCATATTAAGTAATCGAAATTCTTATATGAGGACAACTTAAAGTATTTAACGTACCAATTTGTAAAATTGTCGACAATTTAACATTAGAAGATAAACATTTCTGACTTAGAATTTTTTTTTGTCCACTTTTGATATAAAACTGTCCATAGTTTTACATATTCACACAAACACAATATATATATAACACTCCACTTCAAATTTGCAATGCACAAAGTACAAGCAAAAATAAGAGAGACCCAAACCAAAAAAAAAAAAAAAAAAAGGTAAAGCAAACCCTTTCATTTTCATCTTCTATGGTCCTAAATTGGCTAAACAAAGGCATACACAGGAAGTACACATATTTATATAATTGATCTGTAGCTAGCTCAGTCATCGCTCTTGCCTTTGAACCCCACAAAATTATTAGACATTGGAGGAATCCCTTGTTGATTATTAAACACATTGTTTGGATCAATAATCGTTTTAGCTTTAACCAATCTATCATAATTTTTCAAGAAGTATTTTTCACCCCAAACTCTGGCAATTTCCACAGCATCCTCAGTTTGAACACTAGAATTAATCAATTCCATCTCTCCCAAATCAGTATCCATGTAATTAATATAAGCACACCTTGGCCCCCATGACACAAATTGTGTCATTTCATTATAAAATTCCCTTGCCCAGTCAATGTATTTCTTGCTCTTGTCATTGTCCTCTTCATACCATGCCACCAAATATTGAATTGTAAACAAATTGCCTTTCCTGTGAGGAAATGCAATTTCTTCACTACTTATTCTCTCCATAATTCCACCATAAGGGTCTAAAATCACATACCCTTTTGGCTCTTTTTCAAGAATTTCTAGTAATGAACTTATCCCCGTGGCTGAAATTGGAGTTTTGACATAATCTGATTTGGCCTTGAAGTAATTCTTGTCTTGTAAATACCTGTTTTTCAAGTCTAAAATTGAGCTTCCTTTACTTAACCCAGAGAAGAATAAAATTGACTCAATCCAACTCATTTCTTTGCAATCTTCTTCTCCAAGTTCCACCTCAGGAAAAACTTGGTTTATAATTGATAAAGCTTCATTTCTTGCACCAAGAAAAAACCCTTTAAATGTAGCTGAAAATTTCCCGATTTCTTCAGCCTCGGGCAATCCAGTTCCCACAAAACATGATATGTAAAATTCACCAGCCAATTTGGGCGCTATTTGTTGCCATTTGTTTACTAAGTTGGCAACATGGTGTTTCATGCCTGGCCTAGAAATGATAAAACTTGTCACAGTTTGTGGCACTTTGACCAATTTTATTTTCCAAGCATAAACAATGCCCCAAACTCCTCCACCTCCTCCTCTAATGGCCCAAAACACATCTTCTCCCATGCCTTCCCTATCCAATAACTTTCCATTTGCATCAACAAGCAGAGCATCCACCACATTATCAGCTGCAACCCCATATTTTCTCGACAACAACCCGAACCCCCCACCGCCAATGTGCCCGCCAACCCCCACCGTCGGGCAAGACCCCGCCGAGAATCCATGGACATTACTCGCCTGCGCGATGGCATAATACGTCTCGCCAAGCGTTGCGCCGCCTCCAACCCAAGCGGTTTCCGACGCCAAGTCCACCGCCACCTCGTTCAAATTTATCATATCAATTATTACAAACGAAGCTCCATCGCTCGCGAACGCGGACGTTCCTTCATAGCTGTGTCCCCCACACCTAACCCTAATTTCAACGGACAAGTTTCTGCAGCACAACACTGTGTTGGATATTTCCTCAACGCTCTTCGGCAAGATAATGGCAAGTGGTTTCGGGACCGAAGTGTCAGTAAACCGGAGATTTTGAATGGAAAAATTCAGGAGCTCGTAGTAATAAGTTGAGGAGTTGTTTGTTTTGGTGGGAAAGGTGGTGAAGTTGTTGATGTTATAGTGAGTTAAACAAGAGATGAATTGGTTTGTTGAGGAAGCAAAAAGAGAAATAGGGTTTGATAAAAGGAAGCAGAAGAAGAAGAAGAAGGAGAAGAGAGGAAAAGGGTTGGTGAGCGAGGTATCCATGGGCCTGGCGATTGATAGTTTGGAGAAGGAAGTCAATGGTGGGGAGTTAAATGCAAAAATGAAGAATCAACTTTAACGTTGAAGACAAAGGGAAGGGGAGAGACGAAGAATACGTAATATGCAAATACGTGGCCGGCCATTGATTTAATATTTGCAAGTTTAGCGAAGTGGAACTCCTTCATATTTAATGCAAATACACTCAATTTTAGAGCATTGAAACTCGACAAAAACAGACGATTGCATGAGAGAAATGACACAAAATTTGTATTCTTTTTCTTAACCGAGTTTGCTTATACGAAATTAATTACGTGATTTTTATGATCAAGTATTAGAAAGATTGGACTAAATTTATCTAAAGAGATAAGATCGGTTTAAGTTACCATAAAAGGATTTTAGACATTTTATTTATTAATGGTTTAGCAATACTAGTAAACACTATGGCTTCGTTTGGCTCAAGTTCGGGAATAATACTTTCAATATTCTTAATAAAGTTAAACAGTAAAATAACCAAAAACTTACAATATTATCTAATATTATTCAACCTTTTTTAAACCCCCTAAATTTATTAATTTAATTAAATATTTTTTTTCGAAATTGTAAAAACACCCCTAAACCCACATTATACCAGATTTCGACCACCACTGCCAGAAGTTGGTCGGAATCTGGTAGGATGGCACACTACCAGCTGGATCTTGTCGGTAGTGCGCCAATCTAGCATTTTTTCGGTCAGATCCATGGTGGATCTGGCCGTTGATGACCAGATCTTTGGCCGTAACCAGTCATCAACGACAGCCAACATATGGTCGTCGTTGACCATCAACGACGGCCGTATCTTTGGCTGTCGTTGACGAAGATCTACTGCTAGATCTGGCCGTCAATGGCCAGATCCAGCCGTAGATCTGGCCGAAAAAGGTCATATCGGCGTACGACCGGCAAGATCCAACCGGTCATGCGCAGATACGGCGACTCTGGCCACCCTCCAGCGGTGGTGGTCGGCTGTCCGTATTTGATAGGTGGGTTGGGGGTGTTTTTGTTAACTTTTAATGTTTTATTATAGGGGTGTTTTGTAAAAAAATAAACATAGAGGGTATTTATTAATTTGTAAATTCTACATCGTAATACCTGCCCAATTCAACTTTTTTCAAAAAACCTTTCCTAAAAACGTAAAAATGTGAACCAAACGGAGCCTATAAGATATAAGTTCAATTAAATTTTCTCCTATTGAAAATTATACTGGGAGACGCTTTCAACCATGTGCCTCTCTATCCATCCGACCATTAGTGAGTGGTTTGTATTTATTGATTTTCTATAATAGAAGTTTGGATTTTCAAATAAATGTTGAAGTCTACCCATGAAAACTTTTTCATATACAAAATGATCAAAATTATACTTTTATATGTTAATATCATATCACTAAAAACGCAGTTTATGAAACAGTATTTAATATTTATATGCATGTCACTTGAGATTATTAGAGGTTTAAATTAGAAACTGTAAAATTTTCTCTTTTGGATTATCAACGTACGCCATTTAAAATTTTGTCACTTGAGAATTTTAATTTTTTATGTAAAAATTTTGTGCTCGTATAGGATATATACTATGAATACATTTTCACAAACTACATATCATGGATATCCTTATATTTGTTCATTTACAGTAAAATCTCAAACTCAGAAGAGAATTTGGATAAGGAAAAGGAGATTAGGTTTGAAGAGAAAGAGAGAGTAAAGTTTTATATATATTTATCAATGAATGCCGGCCAACCATAAAAATCCAAGGCCTGCTAATGTTTGTATTCAGTTGAGACATATATCTTTGTCCATCCACATCCATAATTGCTTCATTTTTTTAAGAGAGCGGCGCTGTGTAATAATAATTCATAAAAATTAAAAGCCAATGTTGTTTGATAGCAAGTTCAATCTCTTGCTTAATGCTGCGTTTAGGTAGTTTTTAGTTTTGTACCCATCCTTGGGCAGCACAGATGCTAAGGGTGAATTGAGAATAATGTAGATAGATATATAGTCTTAGGTTCGATTCTCTATCTAGGTATTCGCCATTTAAGTGGGGGTTGTGACAATCGGTTGTTGTGATAGTCTCCCTCAAGAATTAATCAAACTGCCTATAAACTTTTAGTTTTGTCCCTTCCAGTTTTCTCGTCTTTACCGTGATGTGGGTTTGTATAATTAATTGATTAATTAACTATTGGTTTAGAAACATGGTTGTATTACATTAGTATCAACCTCCTCAAGTTTAAATAATTTGATATTCAGGAGAGAAACATATTCTGTTTAATGTACTTTTTGGGTGACGTTTTTCTTCTTGTTATAAATAGCAGTCCGAAATAACAAGAAGAATTAGAAAATAATAATAATTACACACTAAACTATTAAACAAAAACATGTGTAAATTAAAACGAAGAAGATGTTTCTTTTGTCCGTCTCTAATTATCTAAAAATACCAAAGGGAAATTATTACTTTAAATCGGACAACTTGACCTTTTTTCTAATTTTTGATTGGACCATAAAGAAACGTTATCCATGAATTATAGAATTAACTATATAATACTAATAATCAATCAATTTCGTCAAAGGTTTTTTTTTTTTTTTTTTTTTTTTTTTTCTATTATACAAAAACAGGATTGAAAGTGAGATTATATACGATCCATAGCTTAAGATAAAGTATTTTTCTCAAGATCTATTTATCTTCATCTAATAATCAATTAGACTGGCCCTATTATCTTCATCTAATAATTCCTTAGAATGAATATCTCTTTACCTTTCACCAAATATTAATCACATCTTCATCAAAAATCAAGTCTAGAAAAGCTTGTCAACAACCTTACAAATAGAAGATCTTATCTTAATATTTGAGGTGGTCTGACTCCTCACCCAATAAGACCTTGTTGAATGAGATTATCCCCTCTATAAACCAGTAGACTTGAGCGTGCCTAGTCGATTTGGACTCCAACACTCCCCTCCACGTCAAGTCCATATATTGGGTCATGTCTGTTATTAGAGGTAGTTGTCGGCTTTAACTCCTCCCCTTAATCAAGTACCACTCAACTGCACAAATATGCTCTGACCATAATAGAATTTGAGGTGGGTCTGACTTTTTACCCAATAACTTTGTTAAATAGGAGGATTACCCCCTATAAACCAATAGGCTTAAGCGTGCCTTGTAGATGTAGACTCAAAAAAAAATTTTTAAATAAAAAAACTTAATTTTTTTTATTAAAAAAAAAAAATTTTTATTTTTTATTTATTTTAAAACATATCTTAATTAAATTGATATTTAATAATGTCCTTTTGAAGTTGTTATCATAATGTTGTGTTGATCTGCTCTTTCCCTAAACTTCTTCAATTTCTAGCCACAAATTGAAAAGATGGATTCATTTTTACATGGTTGTGTTTTTGTGCAATTATTGGTTTAGATTAATACTTCTAATAACATCAATCAAAACAATATCAATAAACAAAGTAATGGGACAGAACGAGACGAAGGAAAGAAAAACTGGAATTTTCGGTTTTGCCGCATTGATTCCGGATTCTCCGATTCCGTTGCACACCAGCTCGAAACTTTAAAACACAATTACAATATTTTATCAATATAATTATTGAAAAGTATTTTACTACAAAGGATAAAACAAATTTTCATAAAGGTCTAAGAAAATTTCAAAATATTTAAGAAATTCAAAATAACTTAAACATAAAATACCACTTATTAATACATATCTATCATATAGTTATTTAATTTAGTAAATATTAATCACATTAATGATAAGTAAAAAGAATCATAAGTGAAAAAATGTATTAGTTTGGGGTATCACTGTAATACTCTAGATTCTCTCCAATATTTCGAAAGCTCTTTGAGTTAATAAATAAACCCAGGGGCGCTCATTCTTTCTCATACTATGCAATAAAATATTATTAGCACAAATTTTAACATTTTTTTTTTTAAGTCGCATACAACTGCTGAAACATTCAGCCAGTAACTTAACTTGTATATACAATTATACATATATTCCAATATGAATTTGCTAACTATAATTACCTGTAACACAAAGCACAACACATCAAGTTTATGAATCAAGAAAATTTATATTTCATGTCTATCGTAAGCCTTCCATCTTTCTATCACAACCTTGAACTGATCATCCCTTCTCCTGATCTGCAAAACAAAGAGGTTTAGAATTCAGATAAGCGGTTACTTCAGTCATGAACGGAATAATAAAGGTCAACAAAATTATGATTCGGTGTATTGATACCAGAGTGAGAAAGAAATATTAGTTCGTCGAACTCGAAAAAAGGTGTAGTTCGAGTACATCCTACAATTTAAGTTCTAAGTACATGAATATATAGTTTGCTTTTGTCCTGCACTTTTTAAGACATAGTCCTAACTAAAAGGTCGAAAATTGATCAAATATTCAATATCTACTGGGTGAAAAATGACTCTAAAGTTGTTTTAGAATCTTAAAATTGATATTCAAAAGATGAACTTTCTCTTGCGGATAAATCCATGCCTTATAATCATCATATGCCCAAGTTACTTCAGAGTTCTGACAAAAGTTTCAAAGTTCTGGCTACTCATTGCTGAAGAAATAAGGAGTATATACAGAAGATGAAGAGTCTTTTTTAATCACGATATATATGCATCTCATTCCGAATTTGATAGTAAGAACTTGCATTTTTCTGCTCAAAAACTAAAACAATTAAAAGGATAAATGCTTGATATTGTAATCTACAAATGCTTGCGACTAAAATTCCACATGTTTTGAAGCATATGACTAAAAGCTACAGAAAGAATTACCTCGACCAATGGGTTTTGTCCACGAAGCAACATATCCACACTCTTCTCAGTCTGTAAAATGAGATACAAACAATCATACAGTGGAAAATGTATCTGATAGGAACTCACTCCCAGATTGATAGGAATTGGGTCGGGCAATGGTTTTTTTGTAGGCTTAGGTAAAACTCTCATTGGAAAACCGACTTACAAGGGAGGGTGTCCAAGCCCTTATAAACCACATGTCTACCCACTTTCCCTCTCAATTTGGCATCCTAAGAGTATCATATGAAAGGAAGAAGTTATCAATCAAACAAAGTCCTAATTATATTCTTTTGTTTTTACAGTTTAGCAATGCGGAAAGTACGTGTGGTTTCATCTTGCCAAAAAATTTTATTCCACATCTAAGTTTGTAAAGCCTTGAAAATTTATAGCTAAAGAAAATACTACAAATGAGCCAGAATTTTTAGCTGTTATCTCACCATACAACAACTTTTGGAGCAGAAATTCTTAGCTAAATTTTTCAAAAGCAATTCTAGTAGTCAATAGTTTAGAACAAGATACGAGATTTCCATAATGCTAGAGATTTCCGTAATGCTAGAGACATCATCTAGAATCCTTTGAAATAAAGAAATACCTTTCGAATTTTGAACTGAAAATGATAAATAAGTTGATAGGAATACCTTATGTGTAACCCAATAATGCCTTTCTCTCATCTCAATCAAGAAATAAAATGTTGGAGGGGCTTTCCTTTCAAGAATGCTTTTCTGACATCTTCTAGCTCGGGCTTCCTCATCTCCCAAAGTAACAGTTTCTACTCCTCCAATCTTAAAAAAAAAAAAAAAAAAAAAAAGAAGCAACAACAACAACAAAAATCAAATTCCATCTCATTCTTAAGTGCAGATGGGGTTTGTTATTTCAAAGTCCAGTGAAATGAATATAACTGAAACATATTTTCTGAGTGGTTATACTTAGGTTCATGCCGCGTGTACCTTACACTCAAGCATTAGACTTACATATTAATACTAGGTCTTTAACTGATAGCTTAAGCTTTTGAGTCAAGTGGTTCCTTAAAGTAAGGAGGCATGTTAAAGTTGAGCCCTTTCCTATTCAATGTAATTAAGTTTTTAAGTCAAGCAATTACTTAACGTGAAAACAAAACATACCAAGTCAGAAAGCGTAGGATTCTTTATTATATTTTCAAGCCACTCTCCATGAGCTGTACCAATAAGCATGACACCTCTCTCGGCGATGGATCGACAAGCAAGAGCTTCAGCTTCAGTTCCAATTTCATCAACAATGATCACCTCAGGCATGTGATTCTCGACTGCTTCAATCATGACTTTATGTTGCAAGGACGGTTCCGGGACCTGCATTCTTCGTGCATTTCCTATTGCTGCATGTGGAATATCCCCATCGCCTCCAATTTCATTGCTTGTATCAACAATCACCTATACCAGTTTTATTTTGCACAAACATATGTCAAAAACAGCTAAAGACACTAAAACTAAAAAAATAAAAAAGCATCAGAAGTGAGACAGGGATGACAGGGTCAAGAAAAGCCCTACTAACCACTCTTTTCTGAAATTCGTCTGACAGGACACGGGCAATTTCTCGCATAACAGTAGTCTTGCCAACCCCAGGCCTGTCAGAAATAGAGGAAAAGGACAAGGAAAAGGTTGAAGTTCATAATGGATATTGTCTATTGAAATTAAAATTGAAAATTTTCTGTAGTCTACTAGATCAAAGGAAGAAGCAACTCTCACAGCATCGAAAACTCTTATGTTCTGACATTTTATCGGACCACAATTCCTTATATAGGCTTTTAACCAATAACATTCTAATCATAAGGATGAAGGATGGAGTAGTTTTGAATTCATTTCAGACAGAAACAGACTTCTTCCAGAGCCATGTAAGACATAAATGAATGACTACAGGTCTAAATGATTTTCTGCTTCACATTAAAGATGAGCTGTGAAGCATCTTTTGTTATATATACTGCAACATTAAATAGTACAAATAGTTAACTGACCTTCCAACGAACAAGATGCTCTTGCCATAATGAAGCAAATCATAAACCATGTCAATGTGACCACTGACTGCCCTGCCAACTCGGCAAGTTAAGCCAACTATTGCCCCTTTCCTACTCCTAATTGCAGATATTCTATGCAAGGTACCCTCAATGCCAGCTCTGTTGTCTCCGCCGAAATTCCCAACAGCATTTTGAGCATACTCCAATTCTTCTGTTGATACCTAGCTAATAAGCATCATATTTAATGGAGGCTAACTGAAGAAATCTCTGTTCTTCAAAAAATTTATCTCCTTTCTTGGTATTAAAACTTTAGAATGTCAAATAGGAAGTTTTCAATCAAGAACATTTACAATAATCAATCATGAGTTCATCTGAACAAAGATGCAAATGGGAAACATTGAGTGAGCAAAAACCATTTTATGCATTTCACTAACACATGCAAATAAAAAGCTCAAAGACGCAAAATCATGAATTTACCTCAGTACTCCTTAAGTACTTCCCACCTAATTCACCTTGATAGCGGGCTTCTGGCAAGCGTCCCAAGTCCAGTATAACCTATATCAAACATAGCAGCACTAACCATCATCTTATGAAGCAACAATGTTGGGTAAACTTTTAAAAGGCACAAAGCTCTCAGATATCTAAGAAACAATAAATACAGCCAATACACAGAACAGCAACTATTCCTCTCATAAGCAGCAATTGCATTTCAAAGTCTCTTATTCATTTCACCATGAGGAAAGATGAATTCATAAATCAACCCACATCCTTCTAAGACTGACCAATGCACAAAAGGGGTAATATGACTAAATTCAAAGTTCCTCCTCTTAAAAACATTGGCATCCTAAATGGCCAAATAGGGGTCATTCATCAACACTAATTCACAGCGAATGGATGCGTTATAGCATCCTCAATCACAACAGCATGTTTATCCTAAAGCAACAAAATCAAATCCAAAGTTTAGAGATTTGTTACCTCTAGAAGTTGTCCTCTCTTGGAATCATTATAAAGTCTATCTCGCAGATCACATGGAAGAATCTGTCAAAACGACAAAACATTCATATTAACAGAACTCATTAACCAAACAAATCAACTCCAAATCACAATCCAAATATCACAAAATAACAATAAAAGAAATCTATTGACATTAAATTGACTAAAATAGAAAACTATTTTCCAGAATTGATGAGTGAGTGCCTCATTTTCTCCCATATTATCAAGCAACAGAATTTCATTTTCATCACAAAATAAACATTAATGAAACAAAAATTGTTAAAATAACTAAAATAACAAAACAAAAAGAAAACATGTAAGTATAAGGCAACCCCACAAGACTAAAATGCAATGCAGAAACTGAAACCAAGTCCAAAAGACATGAAGTACTAATTTAAACAAACACAAAGAATTCATTAATCAAACTAATTAACTCTAAATGACAATCCAAACATCAGAAAATGAAATAAAATTGAGTAAACTTGCAATTTTCTTTTCAGAAATAATGAAAAAGTGCACTCATTTTATCCCATATTAACAAGCTACAGAATTTCATTTTCATCACAAAATTAACAACGTTGTAAACAGAAATCCCTTAAATAACTATAACTAAAAGAAAACCCATAAGAGTAAAATGCAATGCAGAAGCTGAAACCAAGTTCAAGCTACTAAAATGAGAAATAACGCAAAAAGAGTTGAGGAATGGGATTGAGAGCAAGAGAGATACTTGCAAGAAAGCATGGAGGTCATCTTCAACAACCACATGGGCATTGTGGGATGATGATACATGGAGAGAGAGTGAGGTGAGTTTTTTAAGAGAAAAGCGGTTGGTTTTTGAGGAGAAGAAGGTGTGTGAAGTGGAAGAGGTGGAGTACTTAGTTGAGAAAGTCAAGTGGGAAAGAGTGATGCTTGGAGTTGGAGCTGCTTTCATGGCTCTATTATTGAAGGTTGAAGATGATGTTACAAGTTACGAAATACAGTTGACACATGGAGACTGGAAAAGGCTTTCGGTATTTGGGCTATAAGCCCATTTAAGAATTTACTGGCCCTAAAGTACTTCCAAAGAGCACATGTTTTCTACCAACAATAACGACTGCGTTTGTTTTATTATTTTGAGTAGTATTTTTGAAAAATTTGAATTGAATTATCATTACGAGAATGATAATAAGATTTGAACTTGCAAATTTGTTTGGTAAGATTTTTTAACCTCCTATATTTGTTAATTTAGTTAAATATCTCATATAATAAAAATTTTAAAATTAACAAAAACGCTCCCACCCACCCATTAAATATTATTCGACTATCGGGAATATGTGGATGGGTGGGGGTATTTTTGTTAATTTATAAACTTTTATTGTTTGGAGTGTTTAGTTAAATTAAAAAATCTAAGGGATTAAAAAAATCAAAATATTTTGATTTGAATAAAATATGATTGAATTTTGAGAATAATGAAACAAATATGTATTTTGATCAGAATAAGATAGGAATAATAAAACAAACACATCCGGTGCAGTCATGAATCACTTAATAATACCTATTATAGTAATATTTAAAAATTGTGTTGGTTTAATTAAAATATTAATCTTTTATCTATTGGTATGTAAAATTTGTACATAATTACGATAGCAATTATAACACAAATTAATACAATTTATATTATAAAATTCAAAGATAGGTCTACTATGTTATTAGAATCGGTGACATTATCGAACAATGTTTTGATAATATTATTAGACCATTAATTAAGACATAGCTCCTATTAAAATGAAGCAATTATTGGCTAATGTTATTTTAGTTAGGTGTAACAATATTTAAGTTGCCTCTTCCCTTCAGGTCAGATAACAGGTCTTTTAACCATTGGAGTTAGTAATATCTAAGCGTCTTATGTTTGAGTCAGGGAGAAACACTTATCACATTTGTGTAATTATTTTGATTCATTAAGATTAGTCTTGTAGGGTGTTTAGTGGCTTTGAAGATTAGGCAGGACACTTACCACATTTATGCAATTATCTTGATCCATTGTAATTAGACTTGTAAGGTGTTCCGTGATCATAAGAATTAGACAAGCTTGGTTGACGATTATGCCTAGATACCTCCGTTGTTAAAAAAAATATATATATATATTTAAGTTATAATAAAAGATAAGATTTTTTTTAAGTACAAAGATATATATATATATATATATCTTAGGCACTACTTTAAACCAAAGATGTTGATATGAGCAATATTTGAACATAAAACCTCTTGTAAAATATTTTTTTTCTTTTTATTTTTCCCATAAGAAATTCCCTACCATCAATTTTTGATCAAATTATTAAAGTGGTGTTCACTATTGTTTGATCTTGGAAATATATTTGTTCACTTAAACCATTTATGTTTCATAAAACAAAATACAGTGAATCACATTATTTATAAATAATTAAAATACATATTGGGTGCGTTGTTTGGTTATTTGGAATAGTATTTTAGAATTTATTGGTAGGTAAGAGTTGGTGATTATTATGAGTTAGAATTTAAAATTAATAAAACCCCCCTAAGTTTGCTAATTTAACTAAGTACCCTAATATATAAAATTTTGTAAATTGATAAAAACATCTCCACTCACCCCAGTTGCCAGATTCCGACCACTACCATCAAAATTGGCCGAAATCTAGCTTACGAGTTACAACGCACAGATCTGATCCACCATGGATCTGCCAGATCTACGCTAGATCTAACCGTCGCGACCCAAGATATGACCGTTGTTAACAGCTGATCTGGCCAAATCCAAGGTGTATCTGGCCGAAAAAGGCCTAGATAGGCACATTACCGGCAGTTCTAGCTGATAGTTTGCCGTTTGATAGATTCCGACACCACTGACGGTGGTTGCCAGAATTTGGTAACATGGGTGGGTGTGGGTGTTTTTGTAATTTATAAATTTTTTATTAGGGTGTTTTGTCAATTAACAAACTTAAGGTTTAAGAAGTTTTTTAATTAGGATATTATTGGAATAAGGACAAAATAGTGGTTATTGGTTAACAAACATATTTTATATGTGTTCGTTCGATTATTCATTCGAATGTCTATTAGTTTTTATATATCTTTAATACTGTTCTAGATAAAGATATTTTAAATTATTTTCAATATTTAAAAAAAATATTTTTAATTATCTTTAAATTTTTTAATATAGAAAAAATCAAATTGTAAAAAAAATTAAAACCCCATAAGTGGGTCAGATTCAAATTGCGGATAGTGGTAAGACTTGAGAGTTATAACCGGAGGCAGAGAAGAGGGGACTTCTGAAATTAATACAAAAAGCTCCCAACAAATAGAATTCATATCAAATCAAATTCGTCTCTTTGCTTGTTAACTTGAAGAAGACGAAAGAGATGAACATTAATGGTAGAAGTAGTAGAAGAAAGGGTTTGATCTGGAAGCTTCCTCAAATTAAGCTCAAGGACCTCGGCAAAGTCGGTCCCCGCTTTCGGCGCCGGCATTGGCTGCGGCGTCGTGTCGGCGTCGGTCCTCGTCGGAGTAGGCAACGACACAAATAAACAAAACCCGTGATTTTAGAGAATTCTCTTGACGGGTTGTGGTGCTTTTGTTTAATATTTTTATATTTTTGTTTGATTAATTCGACTCATTTTATCGCTTAATGTCTTGTTTGAAGAGAAACCCTTAAGCTTTGTTTGGTTATTTAATTAAAGTATTTTTTTTTAGGAAATTCTCTGTGGGTTTGTTCATTAATTTTTATTTTTTTTGATATACCTGTTTCTTTAATTCATTCCACTTTACCACTTGTGGTTCTTTGAAGCAAAACCCTTGCTTGGTTCCTTTCATTTCGTGAGCATTGTTGGTTTTTTTTTTTTTTTTTTTTTTTTTTTTTTTTTTTTTTTTTTTTTATTGAATTTGTTATCTTTAGAGAATTCTCTTGAGGTGGTTGTCTTCATTATGTTGAATTTTTTGATATTCTTGTTTACATTTCATCACTTTATGTCTTGTCCAAAGAAAAACGCTTGTTTGGTTCCTTTCATTTCGTGAGCTTTGTTTGGTTTTAGTATTAAAGGTTTTTATATTGGAAAATTTTCATGATGGGCTGTGTTCATTTTGTTGAAGTTTTTTGATTTTGTTGTTTGATTAATTCACTGCACTTGACTACTTCATGTCTTGTTTGAAGCAAAAACTTGCGTTTTCATTCTTTTTTAAGCTTTGTTTGTTATATCATTAAGTTATTTTGAGAGAATGCCTTATGGTTTTTCTTCATTCTGTTGAAATTTTTTGATTTATAGTTTGATTAATTTTTTCCATGTACCACTTCATGTCTTTTTTTGACCAAACCCTTGCTGATTTGTTCATTTGTGCTTGGTTGTATTTCATTAAGTTTCTTATAGACAATTCCTTTGATGGTTAGGTTGTGTTTATGTTTTTGAAAGTTTTGATATTTGTGTCTTATTAATCTAGTATGTACCTAAAGACATGTAAGGAATTATATGCGCAATATAATCTACACCTTAAAAAGTCACTATTGTTTTGGTATCGGAATGTTTTCTGAATGCCACATTTAAAAATTAAATGTAAAACTTCTAATGAAATTAAATTGTTACATGATGTACTTTTTAGTATTTCCTATTCTCTTTGTTTCTTTTCTATATATTATATTAAAATTTTCCGTTTTTGCTTCTAATTTGGTGTTGTAAATTGTTATTGTATGTGTTTATGTGTGTTCAACTCCCGGTGTTTTAAGTTGCAGATGTAAATTGGGAAGGGGAAGATTTAATCTTTTGAGGCATATTTCATTAATTCTTGAACCTGAGCAAAAATGGTATTGGACCCTTTTGATCTCTCTTTCCCCTAACATTTCTTTAGTGTTTTTTTTCTTTGATTAGTTCTTTGGATCTTGATTGGTTGCCATGTTGATCAGTAGACAAGGATGCTTTTCCTTTTACTTTGTTGACAGTGTGGGTCTAACACTTTTTCAAGTTTCAATGTATTATTAATGTAGCTTGCTTTTTGATTGTGTCGCTTATGGTGCTAATGTAATTTTCTGCCCTGATGTTTTTTGTGACTATCTATTAGGCTTTAAAATTTTAAGTGTTTTCTTTCAGGTATAGGCATTGGTCCCGGACTTCCTGTCTACAGTTTGGGCTGGTTCGGTGCAGGATGTGGCGTTGGTATGGATTTGGCTATGGTCTCGGTAAGGGTGTTGCTCATGATGAGTATAGAGATACTCAATGTTGGGACTTCGTAAGTATACTGTGCTTTTTTACTATTATATCCGGCTGACATATATTCTCAAACATGCTTTTTTTTTTTTTCCATATGTACTTCTGTTTGGTAAATATTCTCTAAATTGTTCCTAAATGTATCATTTTCTGTTTCTGTATTTTTTACATGTAATGTTCACATTATTGTCAATAATTCCTGCAATTCGTAAGTGGTCTATATTTTGCAATTTATGCAAGAGTGGCATGTAGAAGTTAGATACATCTCAAGGTTGCTTGTCATCAACATGTCAAAAATATCAGTGTTGGGTTCAAAAACTACATTAATCTGAAACATGATTCATTCTGGTCACTGGTATTCAAACTGTGTATAATTTTTGTGACAGGGCAAGAATCAAATGGTGCTGTGATGTTTTGTTATTAAGTTCTTTTAACGAGCTGAAACTTGAGATACATTATTTACTGATACTTGCCTCTAGCAGTAATGTTATAGTTTGGTTAATCCTTTTCAGAAAGATTTTTTTTTTTTTTTTCCCTTGCTGTCAGGGATGTGCTCGGTGTCTCTAGTTGATGACTTGCCTCTAATACCAAGAAAATAGTCAAAGTGACTTCAAGAGAATTGAGAAGTGGAGAAGATAGATCAAACTTTGACAATCTCTCGTCTTCAATTTGCATTAAGTAGGAACCTTTTAGTTACATTATTTAGCTATACATATGCGTGCATTATAGAAAGTGGTTATTTGGCGATGCAGATTGTGCTGTCTATCATATAAGGTTGTCATCTTTTCTTATTTTTAGTTATTATGGTATATGTGATAACCAGATAGTTGTTTTAAAAAGTCGCTTCCTATAATCATAGTTGACACCTTGTGCACTCGACATTCGACAAGTTGTTGTCAATCAATGTCTTCATAAAGGTCTACGGTCTCTCCTTCTCAGTATTTGCTACTATATATTAGTTTTGCAGATCCTTTGAACTGTGAGGTGGTTTGATACTAGGTTTTCGTATTGATTACGAATACCTGTTGTGTTGTAATATCATCTTACTATCATATATAGTTACTTCTTGAAATTTCATAGTTGACACTTGTTGCACTCGACATTCGACAAGTTGTCGTCAATCAATGTCTTTATAAAGGTCTACAGTCTCTCTTCTCATATTGCTACTATAATTAGTTTTTGCAGATCCTTGAACTGTGAGGTGGGTTTGATACTAGGTTTTCGTATTCACTCGATTACCGGTTGTGCTGGAATATCATCATACTAATCATATAGCTTGAAATTTCATGGCTTATCCAGGTTTACTGAGGGGCTTTAAGAAACATTGGGATATTGAGATAGTTCACTTTTCTTGATCTGTGATTTCCTTGCGTGCTGTGTGAAAATTTGTTTTCCTGACAATGGAGGGTTACTTGAAAACTGTCCAAATATTGATTTAGGGTTTAAACCAATCACCTCCCCGCTGGTTTTCAAAATTGACAATGTAGTCCCTTGGTTATGCAAATTATCCAACCACCTCCTTTGTTAATTTTAGCCGATAAATATAACTGTTGACCAATTTTGACGCTACATGATAATATTTCCTTAAAAAATTCAAAAGAGAACCTTAAAATTTTTGAAAAATTTCTTAAAAATACTCGAATATCTTAAAATTATGTTAAAATCAGAATAAAAATTAAAATCATAAAAATTTCTTTTGGAAAGATTAATTATAAAAAAAACCTGCCAAGTTAACAAAAATTCTGAAAATTTATATATATATTTCTTGGGTTTCTTAATTGTTTTAAAAAAAATCTATGTTTTAGGTAATTTTATTGAATTTTTGATGTTAAGTTAAATTTAAAAAAAATTAAATATTTTTCTTAATTTTGTAGGAACTTATTTTTAGAGACAGGTTTCACGTTTCAGGGGGGTTTCTGATATTTTTCAAAGTTGTATGGACTAATTAAATTGTCTGGGGGTTCTTAATATTTCAAAAAGTTAGGGACTAATAGAATTTTTGGGGCATTTTTGCAACACATTAAAATTTCATAGCCTACTTTGAAATTTTTAGGGTTATTTTTGTAATATATTAAAATTAAAGAGATTAATTTACATGTTTTTAAAAATATTTTTATTGCTGATATCACTGATTGGATTGGTCAACTCGTGACCCGGTCATCTTGTTGGGTCATACCACAAGTTGGGTTTTAAAATAATGATTGATTGATTTACAATTAAGTGTTAATTAGAACATTCTATTACAATTAGGTGTTAATTAGAATATTCTATAAGTCTAATGGATTAGATAAATCACAAATGTATGCAACATCTATAGGTAATTTACGCATATGGTTAAAGTTTTTCCTTCTGGCAATAAGCCAAGTAGTTAATTAGGAATAATTTTATTTGCTCTACCATTTTACTACGTGATTTGACCACAACACAGAAAGAAAACAAAACACTCAAAATGAGATGAAAATATAACCACAGAAAAAGGATGGTTGAGACTTTGAGAGTGAGAAATACACATGAAAGAAGTGGATAGAAGAGAAGATGTTATCCAATCCACACAGTTTCAAGATCATCCCACATCAGCACCTTCATCTGCCACCTCACCACTCTCACCCTATCAAATTCCAGCTTCAGATTACACATTTTCTTCATCCCACCAATCACAATTCTTCCTCAACAATCCCGTTTGGCATGTCCACATCCATTTGTTCAACCTTATAGTATCTCCCTTCTCCCTCTCTTCATCCTCCACTACTTCTTCCTCTCCAATTCTCTTCCTTCTCCGGAAACACTTTCATATTTAACCGACCAACCATGGCTTCCTTGGCAGCATCAACTTCTCTTGGTGTCAAGGAAATTCTTGGCAACCCTCTCAACTTCTCTGCCTCTGTCAGGTCATCTGCCCCAACTTCCTCCTCCCCTTCAACTTTCAAAACTGTTGCCCTCTTCTCCAAGAAGAAGCCTGCTTCTCCTCCCAAGTCTAAGCCTGCCGCCGTCTCTTCAGTCGACGATGAGCTCGCCAAGTGGTATGGTGAGTATTAATAGACACAGAAATTCTCTCTTTTACCGAGGTTTTCATGCTCTTGCAAAAGTCTGTATTTTCTTCCAAGAGTTCACAATTTTTTTTTTATCTTTTTCTGAATTGTGTTGCTAGTAGTGTGAATGGAAGGTGACAAAATATGATATTTTCGATATGTTAAAGTATTTGCATGGTGGTTTTTCCAGGTCCTGACAGGAGAATTTTCTTGCCTGAAGGGCTCTTGGACCGATCTGATATTCCTGAGTACTTGACTGGAGAGGTTCCTGGAGAGTAAGATTGTCTTTCTTCTTCCACTGAGCTTCAGATTGTTGTGAACTTTAAAGCTTTAGAATCTTGAAACATTTCTTCTAATATGAGTTCCACTGCATGCAGTTATGGTTATGATCCTTTTGGTCTCAGCAAGAAGCCTGAAAACTTCAGCAAGTAGGCTAATTAATCACTGTATTTAGTGTTAACTAGTATGCAAGTTTGGCTATTTGAGAGATATAATGTGGGTTTGATTGCAGATATCAGGCATATGAGTTGATTCATGCCAGATGGGCAATGCTTGGAGCAGCTGGATTCATCATCCCTGAAGCTTTAAACAAATATGGTGCCAACTGTGGCCCTGAAGCTGTTTGGTTCAAGGTTTGCATTATTAATTGTTTTCAATTCATCGAGCATTATTAGTGAATTGGAAGGTTAAAATTGAGAGATTCTTAGTGAATTTGGTTATGGTGTAAGTACAGACTGGAGCTCTTCTCCTTGATGGAAACACATTGAATTACTTTGGAAAGAACATTCCCATCAATCTTGTTTTGGCTGTCGTTGCTGAAGTTGTTCTTGTTGGTGGTGCTGAATATTACAGAATCATCAATGGTTTGGTATGTCAACATCATTTTTCAAATTTTCAATTCCAATTCATCACTATTGACATTATAGGCTTAGAAATTTGTCAGGGTTAGGTTATTCTGCTCCTAAATGCACTTGTTAAGAGAAATCTTCGATATTGGAAGTATATACCAAAAACATATTTTGATAGTAATTGTTTAACGCTGATCTCTAGTAGACTTCTCAGGAGAATTCGAATCCAGATGATGTTTCGATCTCTCAATATGTGTCCTTAGAAATTATACATGTTAAGAGAAATCTTCAATATCAAAAGTGTATCTGTCACACTGAAATACAAAAACATATTTTTATCATTCTGTAAACGTTCGATAGCAATAGTTTCATGTTTAACAATTTCTAATCTCTAGTGGACCTCTCAGTAGCAGTTGAGCCTAGAGGAAGTTTTGATCTCTGAAGTTGTGTTGTGTGGTGTTTATATGGCAGGATTTGGAGGACCAGCTTCACCCAGGAGGTCCATTTGACCCACTGGGGCTAGCCAAGGACCCTGACCAGGCTGCAATTCTAAAGGTGAAGGAGATCAAGAATGGAAGACTTGCAATGTTTGCCATGCTTGGATTCTTCCTCCAAGCTTATGTGACAGGTGAAGGTCCAGTTGAGAACCTTGCAAAGCATCTCAGTGATCCTTTTGGCAACAACTTGCTTACTGTCATCTCTGGAGCTGCCGAGAGAGCTCCTACTCTGTGATTTCAGTTACTCTATTTTTACTCAAATCTAAATGCACTGTACATTTCTTGATCAAGACATTTTCAAGGTGTTGAACCTAAATTAATCCTGCCAATTGAATCCCCATATGTGTTTCAATTATAGAGCTTCACCATTGTTCCCCTTTAATTTTAGCATCATTGATGAATTTAACTGGATTCTAAATAGAGGAAACAACACACTCTGGGTTAACTCATTATATATTGTTGCCGATTCCTTTATAAGTTTAAGATAACTCATTTCTTATACAGAGAACCTCATTAGACAAGGTGGTCTAATCTTCCCAAACCAATTCGAGGTTTCTGGGTTTTACATATTCTAACCAACCTTAGGTTGGTAGATTGCTACCCCTTTGCTCTAACTCTATTGCTTTAATTTTTAATTCTCTTCTATAATTTTAAAAGTTCTTTTTTTTAATAACTGAGGTATCTAAGCTCTGAGCACAATTGTCAAGTACTATGATTCAAACACAAGACTCTTGAGTATAGCTAACTTCAACGAGTAAAAGGTTTGCCATACAGCCACGAGGGAAAATGTTTAAAAAATTTATTCAATTAAACACATGTAGAATAATAAATAATACTTTATCCATTTAATTTTAATATCAATTCCACATATTTAGGGCAAAGTGCTGTTAGTGATATGCTTTTAAGGGAAATCTTTCTTTACATGTATCCCAATTTTATATTATGAAGAACATGTCATTAAATGCATAGCCCGAAGTCTATTCCTTAGATGTGCAAATTAAAAATATTAAATAATCCATTTGTTGATTTTTTATTTTAACACCAACTATTCGCATGTGAGAAATGCTGAGTGGGCTTAGAAGTCACACATGATTATAGAAGTATTTAGTTGATTGAAGAGAGAAGAACAATGTTTAAAGTGGTTCGGATACTCACAAGGCGAATCTTACGTCCACTGATAATGACATTAATGAGTAAAATCAGGTTGCGCCTAGCGAGTTGAGTTACAGTTTGACGAATACAAAGGGGAGAGAGAGAGAGAGAGAGAGAGAGAGAGCATGCTATTTCAGAGTGAAATTAGCCAATCCCACAAATGGGAGAGAAGTCCTCTATTTATAGTGAGATGAGTCAAGGTAATGATTACTAAATCTGCGAGTGGGGTAGATGCCGTACAAATCCATCTCTGCGTCCCATTACTCACTTGCCTGAGTAATTTTCTCGACTAGTGCAGGGATTGGACACGTGGATCGTTTCCAACCATTCGCCATCCCGGCGTACACTTACTATATTGGCAGGAGCATGCCACTCACGTCATTACGCGACGTGGCAACCTCTGAGCGATTGGAGAACCTTCTTAAGTTCTGACCACCCATGTTGACAAGGCTTTTACGTCAACCCTACTTTTTCAGGCATAACATTATTAATTAATACTCAAGTTAATTCAAGAAATGCACACCAACATTAAACATGTTGAATATGTTACAAANTCATTCATTTTTTAAGCTTTGTTTGTTATTATCATTAAGTTATTTTGAGAGAAATGCCTTAATGGTTTTTCTTCATTCTGTTGAAATTTTTTGATATTATAGTTTGATTAATTTTTTCCATGTGACCACTTCATGTCTTGTTTTGACCAAAACCCTTGCTGGATTTGTTTCATTTGTGTGCTTTGGTTAGTATTATCATTAAAGTTTCTTATTAGACAATTCCTTTGATGGGTATTGGGTTGTGTTTATGTTTTTGAAAGTTTTTGATATTTGTTGTCTTATTAATCTAGTATGTACTCTAAAGAACATGGTAAAGGAAATTATATGCGCAATATAATCTACACCTTAAAAAGTCACTATTGTTTTGGTAACTCGGAATGTTTTCTGAATGCCACATTTATAAAATTAAATGTAAAACTTCTAATGAAATTGAATTTGTTACATGATGTACTTTTTAGTATTTCCTATTTCTCTTTTCTATATATTTTATATTTAAAATTTTCCGTTTTTGCTTCTAATTTGGTGTTTGGTAAATTGTTATTGTAGTGTGTTTATGTGTGTTCAACTCCCGGTGTTTTAAGTTGCAGATGTAAATTGGGAAGGGGAAGATTTAATCTTTTGAGGCATATTTCATTAATTCTTGAACCTTGAGCAAAAATGGTATTGGACCCTTTTGATCTCTTTTCCCCTAAGCATTTCTTTAGTGTTTTTTTCTTTGAATTAGTTCTTTGGAAATCTTGATTGGTTGCCATGTTGATCAGTAGACAAGGATGCTTTTCCTTTTACTTTGTTGACTAGTGTGGGTCTAACACTTTTTCAAGTTTCAATGTAATTATTACATGTAGCTTTGCTTTTTGATTGTGTCGCTTATGGTGCTAATGTAATTTTCTGCCCTGATGTTTTTTTGTGACTATCTATTAGGCTTTAAAATTTTAAGTGTTTTCTTTCAGGTATAGGCATTGGTCCCGGACTTCCTGGTCTACAGTTTGGGGCTGGGTTCGGTGCAGGATGTGGCGTTGGTATTGGATTTGGCTATGGTCTCGGTAAGGGTGTTGCTCATGATGAGTATAGGAGATACTCTAATGTTGGGACTTCGTAAGTATACTGTGCTTTTTTACTATTTATATCCGGCTGACATGATATTCTCAAATCATGCTTTTTTTTTTTTTCCATATGTACTTCTGTTTGGTAAATATTCTCTAAATTGTTCCTAAATGTATCATTTTACTGTTTCTGTATTTTTATCATGTAATAGTTCACATTTAATTGTCAATAATTCCTGCAATTCGTAAGTGGTCTATATATTTGCAATTTATGCAAGAGTGGCATGTAGAAGTTAGATACATCTCAAGGTTGCTTGTCATCAACATGTCAAAAATATCAGTGTTGGGTTCAAAAACTACATTAATCTGAAACATGATTCATTCTTGGTCACTGGTATTCAAACTGTGTATAATTTTTGTGACAGGGCAAAGAATCAAAATGGTGCTGTGATGTTTTGTTATTAAGTTCTTTTAACGAGCTGAAACTTGAGATACATTATTTATCTGATACTTTGCCTCTAGCAGTAATTTTTATAGTTTGGTTAATCCATTTTCAGAAAGATTTTTTTTTTTTTTTTCCCTTGCTGTCAGGGATGTGCTCGGTGCTCTAGTTGATGAACTTGCCTCTAATACCAAGAAAATAGTCAAAGTGACTTCAAGAGAAATTGAGAAGTGGAGAAGATAGATCAAACTTTGACAATCTCTTCGTCTTCAATTTGCATTAAGTAGGAACCTTTTAGTTACAGTATTTTAGCTATACATATGCGTGCATTATAGAAAGTGGTTATTTGGCGATGCAGATTGTGCATGTATCTATCATATAAGGTGATTCATCTTTTCTTATTTTTAGTTATATAATGGTATATGTGATAACCAGATAGGTGTTTTAAGTTAAACGCTTCCTATAATCATAGTTGACACCTTGTTGCACTCGACATTGACAAGTTGTTGTCAATCAATGTCTTCATAAAGGTCTACGGTCTCTCCTTCTCAGTATTTGCTACTAATATTGTTTTTGCAGATCCTTTGAACTGTGAGGTGGGTTTGATACTAGGTTTTCGTATGATTACGAATACTGTTGTGTTGTAATATCATCTTAATAATCTATAGTTACATTCTTGAAATTTCATAGTTGACATCTTGTTGCACTCGACATTCGACAAGTTGTCGTCAATCAATGTCTTTATAAAGGTCTACAGTCTCTCTTCTCAGGATTGCTACTATAAATTAGTTTGCAGATCCTTTGAACTGTGAGGGGGGTTTGATACTAGGTTTTGATTCAATACGATACCGGTTGTGCTGGAATATCATCATACTAATCATATAGCTTGAAATTCATGGCTTATCCAGGTTACTGAGGGGCTTTAAGAAACATTGGGATATTGAGATAGTTCACTTTTCTTGATCTGTGTTTCCTTGCGTGCTGTGTGAAAATTGTTTTCCTGACAATGGAGGGTTACTTGAAAACTGTCCAAATATTGATTTAGGGTTAAACCAATCACCTCCCCGCTGGTTTTCAAAATGACAATGTAGTCCCTTGGTTATGCAAATATCCAACCACCCCTTTGTTAATTTAGCCGATAAATATAACTGTTGACCAATTTTGACGCTAAATGATAATTTTCCTTAAAAAATTCAAAAGAGAACCTTAAATTTTTGAAAAATTTCTTAAAAATACTCGAATATCTTAAAATTATGTTAAAATCAGAATAAAAATTAAAATCATAAAAATTTCTTTTGGAAAGATTAATTATAAAAAAAAAAACTGCCAAGTTAACAAAAATTCTGAAAATTTATATATATATTTCTTGGGTTTCTTAATTGTTTAAAAAAAATCTAGTTTTTAGGTAATTTTATTGAATTTTTGATGTTAAGTTAAATTTAAAAAAAATAAATATTTTTTTAATTTGTAGGAACTTATTTTTAGAGACAGGTTTACGTTTCAGGGGGGTTTTGATATTTTCAAAGTTGTATGGACTAATTAAATTGTCTGGGGGTTCTTAATATTTCAAAAAGTTAGGGACTAATAGAATTTTTGGGGCATTTTTGCAACACATTAAAATTTCATAGCCTACTTTGAATTTAGGGTATTTTTTGTAATATATTAATAAGAGATTAATTTACATGTTTTAAAAAATTTTTATTGCTGATATCACTGATTGGATTGGTCAACTCGTGACCGGTATCTTGTTGGGTCATACCACAAGTTGGGTTTTAAAATAATGATTGATTGATTTACATTAAGTGTTAATTAGAACATTCTATTACAATTAGGTGTTAATTAGAATATTCTATAAGTCTATGGATTAGATAAATCACAAGTATGCAACATCTATAGGTAATTTACGCATATGGTTAAAGTTTTTCCTTCTGGCATAAGCCAAGTGTTAATTAGGAATAATTTTATTTGCTCTACCATTTACTACGTGATTTGACCACAACACAGAAAGAAAACAAAACACTCAAAATGAGATGAAAATATAACCACAGAAAAAGGATGGTTGAGAATTTGAGAGTGAGAAATAACACATGAAAGAAGTGGATAGAAGAGAAGATGTTATCCAATCCACACGTTTCAAGATCATCCCACATCAGCACCTTCATCTGCCACCTCACCACTCTCACCCTATCAAATCAGCTTCAGATTACACATTTTCTTCATCCCACCCATCACAATTCTTCCTCAACAATCCGTTGGCATGTCCATCCATTGTTCAACCTTATAGTATCCCTTCTCCCTCTCTTCATCCACTACTTTTCCTCTCCAATTTCTCCTTCTCCGGAAACACTTTCATATTTAACCGACCAACCAGGCTTCCTTGGCAGCATCAACTTCTCTTGGTGTCAAGGAAATTCTTGGCAACCCTCTCAACTCTCTGCCTCTGTCAAGTCATCTGCCCCAACTTCCTCCTCCCCTTCAACTTTCAAAACTGTTGCCTCTTCTCCAAGAAGAAGCTGCTTCTCCTCCAAGTCTAAGCCTGCCGCGTCTCTTCAGTCGACGATGAGTCGCCAAGTGGTATGGTGAGTATTAATAGACACAGAAATTTCTCTTTTACCGAGGTTTTCATGCTTTGCAAAAGTCTGTATTTTCTTCCAAGAGCTCGCAATTTTTTTTTATCTTTTTCTGAATTGTGTTGCTAGTAGTGTGAATGGAAGGTGACAAAATATGATATTTTCGATATTAAGTATTTGCATGGTGGTTTTTCCAGGTCCTGACAGGAGAATTTCCTGCCTGAAGGGCTTGGACCGATCGATATTCCTGAGTACTTGACTGGAGAGGTTCCGGAGAGTAAGATTGTCTTTCTTCTTCCATTGAGCTCAGATGTTGTGAATTTTAAAACTTTAGAATCTTGAAACATTTCTTCTAATATGAGTTCCACTGCATGCAGTTAGGTATGATCCTTTGGTTCTCAGCAAGAAGCCTGAAAACTTCAGCAAGTAGGCTAATAATCACTGTATTTAGTGTTAAATAGTATGCAAGTTTGGCTATTTGAGAGGTATAATGTGGGTTTGATTGCAGATATCAGGCATAGAGTTGATTCATGCCAGATGGGCAATGCTTGGAGCAGCTGGATTCATCATCCTGAAGCTTTCAACAAATTTGGTGCCAACTGTGGCCCTGAAGCTGTTTGGTTCAAGGTTTGCATTATAATGTTTTCAATTCATCGAGTATTATTAGTGAATTGGAAGGTTAAAATTGAGAGATTCTTAGTGAATTTTGTTATGGTGTAAGTACAGACTGGAGCTCTTCTCCTTGATGGAAACACATTGAATTACTTGGAAAGAACATTCCCATCAATCTTGTTGGCTGTCGTTGCTGAAGTTGTTCTGTTGGTGGTGCTGAATATTACAGAATCATCAATGGTTTGGTATGTCACCATCATTCTTCAAATTTTCAATTCCAATGTCCAATTGCAATTCATCACTATTGACATTATAGGCTTAGAAATTTGTCAGGTGTGGTTATTCTGCTCCTAAATGCACTTGTTAAGAGAAATCTTCGATATTGGAAGTATATACCAAAACATATTTTGATAGTATTGTTAACGCTGATCTCTAGTAGACTTCTCAGGAGAATTCGAATCCCGATGATGTTTCGATCTCTCAATATGTGTCCTTAGAAATTATACATGTTAAGAGAAATCTTCAATATCAAAAGTGTATCTGTCACATGAAAATACAAAAACATATTTATACATTCTGTAAATGTTCGATAGCAATAATTTCATGTTTTACAATTTCTAATCTCTAGTGGACCTCTCAGTAGCAGGAGCCTAGACGAAGTTTGATCTCTGAAGTTGTGTTGTGTGGTGTTATATGGCAGGATTTGGAGGACCAGCTTCACCAGGAGGTCCATTTGACCCACTGGGGCTAGCCAAGGACCCTGACCAGGCTGCAATTCTAAAGGTGAAGGAGATCAAGAATGGAAGACTTGCAATGTTTGCCATGTTGGATTCTTCCTCCAAGCTTATGTGACAGGTGAAGGTCCAGTTGAGAACCTTGCAAAGCATCTCAGTGATCCTTTTGGCAACAACTTGCTTACTTCATCTCTGGAGCAGCCGAGAGAGCTCCTACTCTGTGATTTCAGTTACTCTATTTTTACTCAAATCTAATGCCCTGTACATTTCTGATCAAGACATTTTCAAGGTGTTGAACCTAAATAATCCTGCCAATTGAATCCCCATATGTGTTTCAATATAGAGCTTCACCATTGTTCCCCTTTAATTTTGCATCATTGATGAATTAATGGATTCTAATAGAGGAAACAACACACTCGGGTTAACTCATTATATATGTTGCCGATTCCTTTTAAGTTTAAGATAACTCATTTCTTATACAGAGAACCTTATTATTAGACACGCCACCAGATTAGAAGGGTTTGGTTAAGCTCCAAAGACCCAAAATGTATAAGATGGTGGAATCCAACCAGATTGCTACCCCTTTGCTCTAACTCTATTGCTTTAATTTTTAATTCTCTTCATAATTTTAAAAGTTCTTTTTTTAATAACTGAGGTATCTAAGCTCTGAGCACAATGTCAGTACTATGATTCAACACAAGACTCTTGAGTATAGCTAACTTCAAAGAGTAAAAGGTTTGCCATACAGCCACGAGGGAAAATGTTTAAAAAATTTATTCAATTAAACACATGTAGAATAATAAATAATACTTTATCCATTAATTTTAATATCAATTCACATATTTAGGGCAAAGTGCTGTAGTGATATGCTTTTAAGGGAAATTTTCTTTACATGTATCCCAATTTATATTATGAAGAACAGTCATTAAATGCATAGCCCGAAGCTATTCCTTAGATGTGCAAATTAAAAATATTAAATAATCCATTTGTTGATTTTTTATTTAACACCAACTATTCGCATGTGAGAAATGCTGAGTGGGCTTAGAAGTCACACATGATTATAGAAGTATTTAGTTGATTGAAGAGAGAAGAACCATGTTTAAGTGGTTCGGATACTCACAAGGCGAACTTACGTCCACTGATAATGACATTAATGGTAAAATCAGGTTGCGCCTAGCGAGTTGAGTTACAGTTTGACGAATACAAAGGGGAGAGAGAGAGAGAGGAGAGAGAGAGAGCATGCTATTTCAGAGTGAAATTAGCCAATCCCAAAAGAGGAGAAGTCCTCTATATAGTGAGATGAGTCAAGGTAATGATACTAAATTGCGAGTGGGGTAGATGCCGTACAAATCCATCTCTGCGTCCCATTACTCACTTGCCTGAGTAATTTTCTCGACTAGTGCAGGGATTGGACACGTGGATCGTTTCCAACCATTCGCCATCCCGGCGTACACTTACTATATTGGCAGGAGCATGCCTCACGTCATTACGCGACGTGGCAACCTCTGAGCGATTGGAGAACCTTCTTAAGTTCTGACCACCCATGTTGACAAGGCTTTTACGCAACCCTACTTTTT